ACTATCTATCTATCTATCTACTTATCTATCTATCTGTCTATCTATCTATCTGTCTCTCTAATATCTATCTAGCGTTATTATCTATCTATCTATTACTATCTATCTATTATCATCTACTATCTATATTATCTATCTAGCTATTCTATCTATCTATCTATATATCTTTATCTATTATATATGCTATCTATAATCTATCTATATCTATTATCCTATCTATCTATCATCTATCTAGCTATTATCTATCTATTAATCGATCATCTATCTATCTATCATCTATCTATCTATCTAAATATGCTATTATATACAACTATCTATCTATCGGCCTATCTATCTATCCTGCCTATCTATCTCTATCTTCTGCCTGCTGACTGTCTATCACTGCCTATCTATCGTGTCATTATAGAGGGTTTTCGGCATTTTGAGACCTATGTGTCAATAGATCTCATTTAACTAAATCTTCCAAAGCTGTTTATTAATTTTTTTTTACAATTTTGTTAGGTATGCTAGAAATAAAGTTAACAGTTGACCAATGTCGAATTCACGTTATTTGGATACTTGTGCTAGGAAGTATCAAAGAGTTTTTTTAAATAGAATATACAATTAACTTTCATTAATATCTTTTCTTCGGGATAGCACCGTCAAGCGGCTATCCAAACATTCTGAAAGCAATCGAGGTACCGATCATAAATGCCCAGCAGTGTGCAGATTTGTACAAAAGAGTCAAAGGCTTCAATACACAAACAATGCTCTGTGCGGCCAACATCGCGGGAGGGGGTGATTCTTGCGATGGTGACAGTGGTGGGCCGCTGGTCTGTAAGCTTTCAGGTAATATTATATATAGGGGAAACACCGGGCAACATTATATTGTGGGGAACATTCAGTAATATTATACTTAGGGGGACATTGGGTGACATACCTAGGGAAGCATTGGGTAACATCATATTGAGGGGAACATTTGGCAACATTATATTGAGGAGCACATTGAGTAACATCATTTTGAGGGGACAGTTGCACAATATCATATTGAGGGGAACATTGGCCAACATTAAATTAAGGAGAACATTAGGCAACATCATATTAAGGGAAACATTGGGCACCATCATATGGAGGGGAACGTTGGGCAACATTATATTGAGAGGAACATTGGGTGACATCACACTGAGTGGAACATTGTGTTACATTATACTGAGGGCTACATTGGGCAACATTGCATTTATGTTGAACATTGGGTGGCATCATAGTGAGGCAAACATTGGGGTTAGTAGATAACACTATTTGATAAAGTGAGTTTTGTTTGTGAAATATTATTTCTATTGAAGCTTTGGGTGTGACACGTATGTTATTTATAGTGGACTTTTAGGAGTGAGAGGTAATATTATTCTCAAAGGAACAGAGGGTCTGAAAAGTAACATTCTTTATAATGGATCTTGGGGTGGAAAGGCAATATTGGTAATGCGGAAAGGGGGGGGGGTGAAGGGTAACATCACCCCCCCCCCTCCCCTGAAGTATCGATTTGTCTACAAATTATAGGTCTAGCCCTATATGTCCAATACGCACAAAGGAGTGGATAAGTGTCCTTTACTTTGCTTTACTTACAGGAACCATTCGATGTGAAATTCAACATTTCATCTATGGGTTTTGGGGTGTCAAAGATAATATTGTTGATCTCTATTTAACATGAATACATCTATTTTCTAGATGAAATGTTCAGTACAGTTAATTTTCTTGCCTTCAGATATGAAGAGTATAGTCACTTTTTTGACAACACCTTATGTAATGCTGTTTGTTCTAGTCTTCTGCTTGAGTATCAAAGATAACTTTTTTTTAAACAAACCTTTCTTAGTTTAAATATCGCGGTCTTTCTTCTTCTTTTGTTATAACTCAGTTTTTCGGATTGTGTTCCGGGGTCGTGGTTTTATAAATATGTCTAGCGCTTCTGGAATGTCTTGGGGAATTGAGTTGTGTTCATCTATATGCAGGATCCAATTTCACGGCTTATCCATGTCTTTATATGTCTTCCTTTTGCATTACGCCCCAGACATTCTGCTGAAGAAAGTCTTATATACAGTTTGGTCTGCTTGCATTTTTGATAGATGGTCAAATCTCTTCATTCTCTATCTTATAATGAAATGCAGGCAATTCGTTTTTCTAACTTTCATAATAAGGCAGGTATATGTGATCAGTTCTCTCTTTGTCTTGTTGATTACCTTACAAACAGCGATTATTACTTTTATTTAAAAAATATAACTATGAAAATGTAATCACAAAGGTTTATATGCATGTTATGTTGCAGGTGTATACACAGTAGTTGGTATCACCTCATGGGGAGTAGGATGTGCTTTGCCAAATAAGCCTGGTGTTTACGCGAAAGTCTCAACCTTTATCGACTGGATAACGAGGACTGTTAGCTTCAACAGCTACACCAGGGCAGAAGAAACATTTCCACCAAAACCATAACTGTGTTATCAAGCTACTTCTGTGACGCTGGTTTATTGTTCTGGATATACCAGAAATTGGCATTTGCTTATTTGAAAACAATGTTTGTTTTTTCTCCGCAGTAAATTTAAATAATGCGGACAGAAATAATACATTGCCTAATTTATTGCTTAGCATTTTTCCCTGCATTACAAAGAGTTAAATCAACACATATTAAAGGAAATAAATGAATCCTTTGGCGGAAATGCATAAAATAACGCCAAGCTGCTACAGACGTATATATACGTCTGCCCGGTAGACTGCATAAGACGTATTAATACGTTTTCTGCCTTCTCACTGCTAAGGACGTATTAATATGTGTTCGTCTTTTCTTACAGATTGCTAGGAACCGTAATTCTCGGGGGGGGGGGGGGGGTGAAATGGCAATATACATTATTTAAATCTGATCAAATTGACCCATTTACATACAATAAAAACCCTTATCACATACTTTTTTAGGAGTATTTAGATGCATTCGAAAAGTCCTGCCTTCAACCCCAGCATGCACTCTTTTTATTGTAAATTTTCAACTTTGGCTCCATGTAGTTTCCGCCCTACTGATTTAAATTTAGGTGCATTCCATAACAATACTAATTATTATTACAGTCTTCATCCAAATGTGGTTATTCAAATCGAAAGGTAGATCAATTTAGTGACAGTCACGGGTAAATGTTTCAAAGTCCAAGATAATTCTGTACCAAGAGTAAGTAAAGTAAAGGACCCCTTTCCACGCCTTTAGACGTATAGGGCATATAGGGTATATAGGGCTACGCCTATATTTTGTAGACTATACTGCACAAGTTGAGTGATCTGGTCAGCATCACGACATCCGCCTTTACTTCACGGAACGGCACCGGGTAACCACTCTAGGCTGGGTCGACCTGGGAGCCAAAGTAATTTTAAAAAGTCTGGCTCCACCAAGGAGCGAACCCACGACCTTCCAATCCACGCTTAGCGTCTAGCCGCTCTGCCACGGTGACTTCCTCTGTACCAAGAGCCAGGTATTAATATCTCGGAGTTCAATAATAACGATTTTACTGACTGTCACATGCAAATGTCTCCAAGCGCACATTCAATCAATTTACTGACAGTAATGTGGGATCTAAAGCTCAATAATTCAGAAAGCACAGCATCACTTTTCTCTCTCCCCCTGAAAAAAAAAACAAAAATATAAATTTGTATTAAAAACCAGCTCATTCCACAGACGGACACTCCTACCATTCTTGGCGTTACACTTGATTCGCGACTAACTTGGAAGTCACACGTAGAAGCAGTACAGGGGGAAGCATTCAAGAAGCTTGCAGTGATGAAATAATTAGCGGGTACCACATAAGACGCTAACTCCAGAATCCTAAAACAAGTATATACTGGAGCAGTCAGGCCAGTCATGGAATATGCCTCCACTGCATGGGCTGCAGCAGCCAAGACAACAATAGGAAAACTAGACAAGGTTCAGAATATGGGATTAAGGATTGTTCTCTGAGCCATGAAAACCACCCCCATCAGAGAGATAGAGAGGATAGCAGATACTGAACCACTCGAACTCAGAAGACAATACAAAACTCTTCTACAGTATGAGAAATTAAGAAGACTTCAGAGTCACCCACTGTATTTTAAATTTCAAGAGAGAACAAAAAGCAGACTGAAGCGTCAGAGCTCCAACTACCTTGCTAGAGAACTGTACAGACAACACCAAGATCTGCTTAAAAGAGATTTTGCACTGTGCGAAATACCTAGGCTAGAACCATGGACAAGCAAGCAATAAAAGGCAAATGTAGTCCTAAAGGTACCAGGGATCACTTCAAAAGATGCCCGGACGGAGACACAACAGAGAACCCTGGGTCTTGCTATGTTTGATGAGAAGTATCCAAACATCACTTGGATTCATGTTTTCACCGACGGCTCTGCTACAATTGCAGTCAGAAAGGGAGTTGTGGAATATACATTAAACCCCCTAGCAGTAGAGCCGAAACTCTCTCTCTCTCTCTCTCTCTCTCTCTCTCTCTCTCTCTCTCTCTCTCTCTCTCTCTCTCTCTCTTTCTCTTCTCTCTCTCTCTCTCTCTCTCTCTCTCTCTCTCTCTCTCTCTCTCTCTCTCTCTCTCTCTCTCTGCCAGCAGGTGACATCTGCACTAACTTCAGAGCTGAGGCAACTGCCCTCCTTTCTGCAGTTCAACATCTCATCACTCAAGAACACAAAGGGCACAAAATTGTTATACTCAGTGACCCATTGTCTGTTCTTCAAGCACTATCAAGTGAAAAACAAGACAAACTAATTGTAGATCTAAGGACCGATATTGGCTTACTCTCCAAGGAAGCAGAACTGGTCTTGCAGTGGATACCAGCCCACTGTGGTATTCAAGGAAATGAGAGAGCAGATGAGTTGGCAAAAGCAGGGAGTAATCTTCTACAACCTCATCCACCACACAGCTACAAGTAAAACAAAACAGCGCTAAAGCAGTCTTTCAAGTGGGAGTGGAGAAGGCAGAATGGAGATTACAGACCAGAGAGTGACAGCATAAACAAACTCAACAGGAAGGAACAAACATCAGTTTTCATACATTTGACTGGACACTGTGGTCTTCGAGCACACCTGTACAGGATAGGCATAAAAGAGTCTGCTGCCTGTGATTGTGAAGCAGAAAGACAGACTCTGAGCACATAATGCAGTACTGCCCTTACCTCTCCCAGCAAAGACTGTGGATCTGGCCCAGGGGATCCACATTACGAGAGAAGCTATGGTGGACCGGTGGCGACCTTAAACGCACAATCCTATTTGTGACCCAGACATGATTCAATGTTTAGCATGACTGATGTCGAACACAGAAGAAGAAGAAGAAGAAAAACTTACCGTCACTGGTAAATGTCTCCAAGTCAATGGTTAACCTTTTACTGACAGTCATGAGTAAATGACTCCAAGCCCAAGGTAAATCTCTGTACCGACAGCCAGGGTAAATGTCTCACAAGATCAAGAAACCATTTAACCGACAGTCACAGGTAAATGTCTCCAAGTCCAAGGTAGGTCATTTTACTGACTGTCACAGGTAAATGTCCTCAGACCTCACGATTAATCATTGTGCGTAGATGAACCTGTGTGTATTCGCAAGTCTAAAGTAGATCATTGTACAGATAGTCAAGGGTAAATGCCCTCATATTTAAGGTAAATCTCGCAGTCGTTTTCCTATAGCGCCGGTGGTGATTGATTCAAATTCAGCTTTAACAAAGGACTACTTTCATGCCAGTGATATTTGTAAAATAATCTTTCCTTACTCCATGGTTGATGTAGTCAATATCAAGCTGGCTGTCTGTAACCCCGGAGATAACCCGATTCTTATTCAGGATGTGTCGACCTGGGAGGCATTTTTTTTCAAATCCATACAGTGCACATTCAAACCCAAGAGCTTGTTGCTGACAAGCGAGCTTCAGGGCACTACGCCACCAAGGTCACCATCTAATCCACATTTGGATTATTATTTATATGTTTACTTCAAAAGAAAGCTAACACCGGTAAGTTTGGAACAAAGCAGGCTACTGAAGCTGCCGGATCAAAAGATTAGTGCTCTATCTGTCTACCTGTAGGAGCTCCCCTCCCTGATCATCTACCAGCCATAGCTAAGTTTCTGGTCTGCCATGACAAAAAGTTTCCAGTTGCATGTCCTCTGCTTAGGATAAGGCTAGTATCCTCCCCAGTGTGTTCCTCCATCCGAAGCTGTTGTAGCAATATGGGATGTCAGGTTTAGTATACGCCGCCCAACATTAACAGAAGACAGGTGGTGCCGACTAATGTTATACGGTAGTTCAGACGTATCTGACTAGGACCTGACAACCAACGTTATCTACAGCAAACTTCTAATGTCCGTCAACAGACATAGCGTTGTCTGAAGCAAACATATTTACTACAACTGACCTAACGTTGTCTGCAGCAAACATCGTTGTGTCCAACAACAGAAATGACCTTGTCTACAACAAACACCGTGTGTTCTGCAGCAGAAAATAACGTGTTCTACGGCAAGTTTCATGTGTCCTACAAGAGATATTTTTTATAGCAAACATTGTGTGTCCACACCGAATAAACAACAGATTCAGGGTTGGCTGCACAACGGCTCTCCTCCTTCAGTTGCATCGTCTTCCTGGACCATTCCCCGTGAATTTTCTGTCTAAAGTGGCTATTTTAAACATTTACAAAGTTCCTCCTGCTTCCTCGTTAGTTTGAAACAGTCATACGTGAGTTAACATTACAAATAGGACTTAATAGCACTTCTATCAACCAACTCCCCGCACAGAATGTCATATTTAGTGAAATTAAATGTAGCTGTCACGTTTTATGACATATTATGGGAAGCAATGTACTCGAAAACCTCTAATTTTGTGGAAAGTGCAAAGAGAAGACAAAGATACATACTTGGTTGGCTTAGCCAGTTCAATTGGAATGAACAAAAGCACTGACTGGATCTGTGATTCCTGTGCCTGTGTGTGATTGTGAAACATGACCGCTAGCGATTATCTGCATGACAGGGCACATGTTGTTGATGAACATTGTTTTCCTTGGAATCTATTAAAACAGCCTGTATCTCAAACCCACTTACATTAAGGTACCCAATTATTCCAAATTACCTTTTGTTATTATGTCTTTATATTCCACCGTTAAGCTCTTTTCTTCGTTTTCTTTGAGTTTATTTCATTGCTCGGGCAATAGTATACAATCGTCGATACAACTATGTGCAGTTTGGCGATTGTCAGTTTATTAAATTCATAGGGTTGTTATTTATCGTTTTACAATATATCAAAGACCCCTAAATTGAAATCAAAATTACTTGTCATGCAACTATACAATTGTAATTTGCCACTCAGTGTTCAACCTTAAATGTCAACTACATATACTAATCAAACTCTAACAACAACGTGTTAATTTGAAGCAGTTGTTAACAGCCATTGTCTAGTTGACGTATATTTATTTAATCACCTCCTTGTGGGATGTAATGTTT